TTAATTCCTTTCCTTCCAACTTTCCTAAATCGCGACTCTGTTCTTCAAAGATTAGGCAATAAGTCCGTTTCCACAATTGCACCACATGCGCTAACGGTGAGTATGAACTGTCCACCAAAACGAGGATCTCGTTTTATGTGTATGGTAGTTTAATCCCAGTAGGTAGTGACAAACTGGTCAGCAGGCAACCCAATTTACACAGAATGACACAAAACGCATAAACGGCAGCAGGATGATAGCGCACCTGTGAATTGCCTTGTTCGGACGCTAGTGATTATGACTATTTTTCGTGCCTCCGAGTAAGGCCTAGTTGGCGGTTCGAAACAGTTATTACGTAGAACAAAGCATAGCAGAAAGGAGGCATTCCATTTGAACGGATTCCAGCAAGTAGCCGCAGATATGCGGTACTTCCATCGGGATTGATACTTTATTTTGGACACGCGGTTCTATTCTATTATCTGGGCGTATACACACATCGCAAAGTTGATCGCCTTGATATATAGGGCTAGTTCGATACTATTTATAACGATGTTGCTTCACCTATGGGGTTCATTTTTGATTCCACTAAACAGATTCAATAAAGTAGTCAGATTTAACCAATCAGCGGAGCCGCATAGGCGAGTGGACAAAACTAGTGTGTCCAATCAAAGGCATTGCTCGATTCCCGTCAACCCGACTGTACCCTTCGTCCCACCGGTTCATCTAGTCACTGACGACCATCGCATCATCCACTACCCTTCAACTTGACTAGGTGAATAAGAGTGAATGCTTAGAAGCCCTGTATGCGCTGCACAGCATGCTCCGAGCAGCTCATTCGGAAACAAAGGATGTGTGACGGCCTTATTGGATGTAGTCAAGGCAGCTGACACGGTTTCGTATAACACCAAGATACTCGTAGCTTCCCACTATGCGTCTAATCTGTTAATTCGCTATCTCACAAGACGGTACCCAAACTGAGATACTGTCCGGAAGGAACAGGGATGAAGTGTTGCAGCGGTGTGAGAAAAGGTGGCCCGTTGTCACCTTTGCTCTTCATCATGGTGATGGACGGGGTGCGGTTACACCCGACCGAGGGGAAAGCTTGGATGTAGACACAAGAATATTAGAAGACGCCGGTTGAGGGAAAATGTTGTCATTTTGTACTTCATCTGCAATCAGGTACATACAACTAGAAAAGGATACAAAATAACGTCACATGAAATCGACAGGTGAAAAATCGGTGAGCTACAAACCACCACGAAAAGCGTACCATTGCTGCAAGCTAATATTGGAGATAGAGCGATAACAATGGCGTCGAGGAGTCTGAAAACGTGGGGCGTTTGATTGCGCATGACTTTGAATGACGCACTGGGGTTGATCTGGTGATTGGTGTTCCGTAGGTGCCTCATGGTTGGTGAGGCAGGAATTGACGATTTGAAACTCTTAGCGAGTTAGACTAGTGAGGAACAAGCCCGGTTACATCGAAATCGAGGCTGCATCGATCACATCTTTACGTCAATTTTTGGAGTACCGCCATATTTGTTGGCGCCCAACCGTGGTCGTGTTTCGCGACATCAAGCATGACTTCGATTTGGCTGATCGATGTGCACTTTGGGACTGTCTGCTCAAGAAACGTGTGTCTGAATACTATGTAAACATTATCAGGGCGATGTGCGCGCATACTTTGGGCAGAATGAGGGTCTACGGCAATCTATGGCATCCCGTCACCTTTCCTCTTTAACTATGCTATTGACGAAGTCTTGGAAACAGCGTTCGCTGGACACAACCTAGGTGTGGAGCTACTTCCTTGTGAGTGACTTCTTGACTTAGAGTATGCTGACGAAATTGTCCTCATATGTGGCAGCGCCCAAATGTGCCAAGCGGCGTTAGACAAATCAGCACTGGATGTCAATCATTATGGGCTTTGCATTGCTCAATGGAAATGGAAAATGGGTCACCAAGAATGGCAAGGACGTACCCCTGCACTGACCCTTAATGGTGATCGGCTGAAAGCCGTTCCGGAATTCAAGTACCTGGGCAGCTATATTAACGCCTGTGGGATCGAATATGAGGTCACGGACCATGTAGCAAAAGCTCGAAGCGCTTTTGCCAATCTCCACCACCTGTGGCGCCGACGCGAAACCACTCTGGTCCTGAAGGACAGTTCGCAATGCAGCCGTGCGTTCAACCCTTCTATACGGAAGTGAAACCTGGCCCATCACGTCGACAGACATAAAGAGGCTAGTTACGTTCGATCATCGCTGGTTCGCAGCATAACTCATGTATGGTGGGGGCACCGCGTGACCAATGAATGTGTCCGGCGTCGTGTGATCCGCTCAGCATCAGGCTTCGATGGCGGGGCCACGTGTTGCGCAAGCCAGCACACCGGCTCCTGCGACGTGCATTGTTTGCGCGCCGGGGGCACAGGTGGAAGAGGAGAGGGAAGTCAAGCGGACTTGGTCGGGAGAAATGAAAACCCTCACTTTGAACTTGGCGTCGGTTGGTGTAACCAGATTGCCGTGCCAAGGTCCGAAGGATGATGAACACAGTTGAGTTGGATAGACTTGGCGAGATGAAGATCCAGTTCAGTTAAACAACAATGATCCGAGCACCAAAGTGAGGTTGATCCAGTTGTTACGGCTCACACCATGAAAATAACAAAGGTAGGATAGCGGGTATGGGTGCAAAGAGAATATAGAGAAAATATGAGCGTCAGAATAACCGGAATGGAATGAAAGTTAACAGCTAGATACAAGAACGAACCTAACTGCGTGACCGCACGTTGTCTGACACAATCTCCAACCCTTGGTGTGGGTCATCCCGAGGCTCCATCCACGGAGACCGCACGCACCTTCCTGACCAAGTCACTCAGTCAATTTCTTCATGGATTGGCCACCTCGTGGTTCCACCCAACTTGGTGCAATCACGGCGTATAACGCACGCCGAGGAAGCCGATCAACGGGCATACGGAGCAAATAAGATTTAGCAAACACTCGGGAGAGACACCAGAAGCCTTCTTGCCAAGAATCAACTGGTGGACCACAGCATTGCTCACCTGGTGTTCCCACCAAACGGGAGCAATGCTCCGAAAGCACAGTGATCAAGCACGTCCAAGCGCTTGTGTTTGCCGCGAACTGGCCAGGTCTTTGATCTATGAAGTAACTGGCCTTATCGCAGCGTCATACACTCTACCTCTACCTTTCCCCCAACATCAGTGTTATATAAACGTTTGGGTCCGATGAAAGTTTACCGAAAAGAATTCTTCACCCTGAACTGATTTCTGATATTGATTCATATAAGTTGATATCCCAAATTCTCTATAGATGGTGGAGTCTCTGAAAACTACACGGGCCTTGATAATAAACGAAGTAACCTCATTGGTGAAGTGACCACCACAGGTGACACAGCTACCGAGATAAGTGAGTCGATCTACCACTTCCAGTGGTTGTTCGGTGATATCTAGAACCAGTGTGTCAGCCCAGTCCTGCAACAGTACTTCGCACAGGTGCAAAGCACACGACGAAGTGTGCAGCGCTACGCGTCAGTCTATCTAGTAGTGTTTGCACGGCGAATGCATCAGACCCAAGGAGAACTAAGTCGTTCGCATACTCCAAAGTTAACAGTCGGTCGCCTAGCAGAACTTCCACTTCGAAATAGCCAGAAATAACCGAGCCATGATCATTTCGATTCAGAGTTGAAGAGGAAAGAAGATATGAGACAACCCCGAAGAACCCTAGTTGTCGTGCGGAACTCAGTAGACGGTTTCCCGTACACTCTTACACGGTCTCTGGAATCACGTTAGAGACCTCAGAATAGAAAGGAGTTTCGCTGGCACACCCTTCATGGATAGGCAGTGCCACAAGTTGTCTCGATCAACAGAGTCGAAGGCGGCTTTCAACTCAAGAATAACACTCATAGTCGGTCATCTGTGTGTCCCTGCTATAACATTTGGCGAACAGTAAATGTGTTTGGTGCAATCACGACCAGGACGGAAGTTAGCCTGGTTTTCAGTGAATCGGTCCTCACGGGGACCAGTAAGTCGTCGAAGAATGATACCCGTGAGAAGTATTGAGGCATTGGAAATAAGTCTAATGCCTCGGTGATTTTCGCACAAAGTAAGTTGACCTATCTTGAAGATGGACACAATAGTTGACAGATGCCAGTCTGAAGGCACCTCTTCAGTGTCCCAAATCGTTTTGAGTAGCGCAGAAAGTCCAGTTAATAAATAACCTCGATCTTTCAGCAAAGACAGAGGGTCGTCGTTTCCAGAAACTTTTGTTTTGTTTCAACACAGAATGCATGTCGAATATATTTCAGTGGGAGACGTGACACGTACTTCCCATGATGGCCAGGTGGTTCGGTAAGCTGCAGTGTAGCAGCTGGCCTGTTGAACTGCTCCTCAAAATGTTCCGCCCAACAGGCTAGTCGATGACGCTGAGAATGGATAAACAGCCCATCTGATGGCTTTCTCGAATACGTGTCCCGGCTGAGCTGGAATAGCACACGGCTGTTTCCAATAGCGCTGGCCTTCTCCATCTCACGGGGTTTTGTACGTCACCAACGTTTCCGGTCAAATCGAAGACTCCTTATCAGACGCTGTTTCAGGGAGTTACGGATAGGCTGAAACTCAGTGCCCGTTAAAAACCGTTTGCGGGCTTAGAAAGATCGATGTTTCAGTGATCCATTCACAGTCAGGTTTCAAGTCGGGTACAAAGCATGCGTCAAGGGCAATTTTCATGGCACATGTGAGACGATCCCAGCCAGCGTTCGGTTCACTAACCTCATTCATCACTGAGAATTGGCGGGCCAGTTCGCCATGATATTGTTGGACTGCAGACTGCGAATTCAAGTTACAGCCGGCCCCAATAACCTTGGTGCTGTGAGTCTTTTGTTCATCGCCCTACTTTTTAGTTTAATCCTTCAATTACGATCTTATATCAAATGCATAATATGATATTTAACATTAGATGACTTGCTTGTTGAATTTTTTTATAGTCTATTTCTGGTATTTTATCTTTTTTGCCCTGCGGCACATTAACTGAGGTGTTTCTCACCATCGGCTAACGTGTATTGATGATGGCAGACATTTTGCCATCGGAATCGGAATAAATGATGGGAGAAAAAAAGGGAAAACTTGTCCAGTTTTCCACTCACAGTATTCCAGTTGTTCTTCCTAACTGTTCGTTGTATTAAGGAAGGGAAATCACCGGAACATGTAGAGATACATGTTCACCATTGACAACGGGTTCGGGCCATGAATTCCAGGGTCGCCAACGAGCGACACTCCGTATCACTGAAGTCCCAACTAAGAGGTCGAGAACAGCCGACCGATGCCAATTGTTTCGTTAGCTTTTCCATGCCGCTTCTCCAAGTCGTAGGCTGTCCATCGCGTTGTCTCCTCCGGCCCTGTTCAGCGATTTCGAACAACGCTCGACGCGGAAGACGATGAACAGGCATACGTAATAGGTGTCCAAGCCACCACAGCTAAACGAGCTCCTAGAGCGAGTGGGTGCATCTACCTAGACACGCTAACTTAAACATCCGTTACGTGATGCAACCACTACATACGGGTAATGGACTAAAAGCAACAATCCTCGAAGACAGACAACCGACGCAGGTCGACGGTACGAATAGGCCGTGCTTCGCAAGCGTACAACAGTATAGCTCGGACAGTCGCGAAATAAACCGGCCTTTTGATAGATAGATGAATGTCATGGTGACGCCATAAGTGCCTCAGCCTGGAGAAAGCGAGGTACGAGAAGAAATATCTAACAGATCCACTAACAGTGATACAGTTTCCTAGGCATACAAAATGCTCCAAAGCCTTCACTGTCTCACCACTAGGAGCTTTGCACTTGGATGGGGAAAAAGCAAGCCCATACTTTACGCTTCAATCGTCAAGCAGTGAAATGCAAGTGGACCGTCATCTAGCAAGACGATATTAGCAGCGTAGCCAAGACCAAAAACTAGACTACTTGGGAGGAGCTCAACAAGTCTTCCAGAGAATACAAAGGGGCAGAGAAGTACCACCCTCATAATACTTTGTATCGCCTAGGTACGGTGGATTATGGTTTTTGGAAGCGATAAAGCTAACCGGGTGAGTTTCACTTCGACATGAAGTTCATCGAACTGGCTACGCGGGGCCAGAATGAACAGCTATGTCCATAGACAGACTTCAGCAAAATGACTCCATTTGGAAGAAGGAAACTAGAGCCAAACGCGGTTCTGCAGTCGACCAGTAGGAAAAGGAACGGTGACGGTCACTTCACAAGTATCACCAAGGAGTGTCGTTGAAAGAGATCACGAGCACACGCGCTTGTACGCTGGTCTGCACAGGTGGTAGAAGTGATAGCTAAAGAGAGGTCTCTGATTTATATGGAACGGTCAAGACCGGGGTGTGCTCCTGTGCGAAAGAGCTCACAGAAAGAGAGAGAGAGGAAAACTGACAGGAGCTGGTATAACTGAGTAAATGAACAGAATGAAGGAGCAGCGAGGGACGTATGACAAGAAAGTGAGAAGGAAAAAGAGATACTCTCAACAATACCGAAAGGAGACGGAAATGTAGAGTACACGAGGGTCATTTTCCATTACGCACGCGCTCTGCGTGGTACTTTGGTTTGTGTAAGGCGATAAAAACATGAGAAAGCGTGGTGTAAAAGAGATGATGAATGATGGTCGACCAATGTAGCTTTTCACTGGGCGGATACGAAAGGCACGACACCGAGATGGTCGAGTGTGTTAACATCTGACAGTTCGGTTCAGTTTATGCGCGATAGGTGTTAAAGTGGCGGTGGACGTGATCCATAGATTTCTGACGCAAATTGCTCGTAGTTTAAAGCACCGGAATCTCCCATCGGGCCATTTATGCGAAGCATCTGTTTGAGGCAATATTCAGCATCCTCCTCGGGCAAGAAGCGACGAACGTCGTCCGCAGTGATGTAACCCTGCAAAGGCAATCATGAAATCGGATGGTAAAGTTCGGTCGTGGGTGAAATGAAAATCTCCTCAAAAGATGAATTGAGGCACTGCACACGGTGACCCGATTAAATGACAAATCGAGCACGTGGCTTTTAGGACTGCAAACAACACAACATTGCTTACACTACGCGATGAGACTGATATACCAACTGGGCAGGGTCAAAGATGGCCTACGAGAAAAATGGAAAGCAATATCGCGATTAAAACTATTCGCAATTACTACAAAAAACAAAGTGATCAATCGGAAGGCGACAAAAATACCATCGGGTGGGTGACCGACAGAGCATCTTCTAAACGCACAAAGAAAAACACGCGAAAGAAGTCGTAATTGGCATTCATTTTGACCAGTAGAACGAATGAGATATACAGCAAACGAGAACAGCAAATGATGAGTCGTAAAGTTTGATTTGGAGGCAGAAACAAGGACGAAGTGCAACTGAAGCGTGCTGCGGCAAGTGACGGGAATACTTTGTGCTTGTATGCCTACCAATGCTAGCGCGAAGCTTTCAAGTGCAGACGTAAGGAGAAGAACATACTGATACGCCCCGGTGAGTAGAAAACGATGAGTGATAAACACGCTTTGCTTTGGACATTCACGGCTAAGTGCGTACAGATGACGGAATGTCCAGACCAAGTACTGAACAGAAGTCATCGAACCATAAGCACAGGACGATTGATAATCTAATGAACATCCCGAAAGTGCAAACTGTCAAAACAGGCAGAAAGTCAGTGAAAGCGAAAGACAAATGACAGATCTCCCAAAGATGTAAAGCGACAAGCCATTCACACATAACCATTAGGCTGGCGTAGCCTGGTTGTGCGAGTACGCACTTGCTAGTCCCACTGCTACGTGGAAAAAAGTAGTTGCAATGAAATCCCAATTGCCGGAAAAAAACGTGAATCCTTCGGTCGGTAAACAACTAATTGATCGCTACAGAGGTTAGAAGGCTAGGGCCGAAGATAAAAACTACATCTCTGCAAGCGGGAATGCAAGCACAGTGGAGATGCATGATCGTCTTTGGAGGAGAAAACTCAATTGAAATTAGCCCAAGCATATGCTAAGAACTTCCACCTTTCTTCGTGATCCCGAAGAACTGAACTCTCATGGTGCAATAAGAACATAAGTCTCCGTCGCTTGTGCCATCGTGACGCAGAACATATTGGAGAATGTCCCTTGGTCTTAAATGGTGTGATAAAATAGATGTGGAAATGCTTAGCAAAACGTTTCTGCTTAACCTGGCTAATTTCTCGTGGCACTCCGGGAGTGTGTCTAATCCGCCTGCAGTCGATATGGGGAAATGTTTGTAACTCATCATAATGACGAAACAGTTATGTTTCGTAAACTTACGGCAACAAGACTTGGTTGTGTATTCAGTTGTGTGAACTACAAAGTGGAGATCAATTTGTATACCATTGGTTGTGACTGGGAGGATTAAGTTAGAGCAAACCAGTGGTCAATGCGTTGTTTATGTTGCTACCATCATTCAGAGAAAGCAGCTGTGTTGGTTCCTGCGTACATAAGAAGAGCTCTGCAGACCAGATGACCTTGACCGAAGAGTTCGCGGCAGATAGCCGCTCACCACCGTTATGTGATGCATGAAACGAGGGGAATCACGTCACTGCATTGAGAGCGGATCACTAAATTTGGCAGCCACCGAAGAGAGCCTGGCAGGTAGTTGCATTAACGGGCGTCCCTGGCCAATGCAAATGTCGGGACGTGGATAGTGAACGAAGAAGACACGGAGGTCATTGTATGTGTGTGTGCGTATTTGTGTGGAAAAACGGACAACTGTCTCGCGTCGGTAGGTCCACTCGATGGTCATGCGCAGTGATAGCAACAGTCAATCTCAGCACAGCACCAAAGTCGTATGCTACTGTGCTATCGCAACGACAGACTAGTATCCAAGTAAGGGATGACAGCATGTTAGCAAAACGCACATAAAGAACTAGTGTATCGGTTGCTCAATTCACCGACGTAGGCTTGCTAAAACGGCTCCAGTGTGATCTACAGTGAGCCCGAAGAAACGCATTATAAACCAGGGAAAATAGAAATCAAATTGGTATATGAAGTGGTAAGGTGAAATTCTTTTGGTATCTTCGCAACACCGGTAAATACAAGTTGGATATTAGACGAGAGAACAGCTGGAGACCGCCTCATTAGTTAGAGTATTGCCAGCAGTGTGCACTCCCCCTGTTCTCAATGGTCTGGGATCAGCGGACCGACCCATATGAATAACTGGTTAGGACCAGTGGGTTGCTTGGGAAAGCAACGACTGACACGACTAAGTTACCACTCCCTTGTGGTCATTGGTCTCGTCGACTGGGACAGCTTGAATCTGGAATAAATGTTGAGGGAGGGGCCACTCAGAGAACAGCTACAGCTGCTTGCATTGAAGCATCAATATTCTATGTTCGTACAGTGAGTGATTTACAGCGCAAATGAATAGACTGGGGTGGAAGCCATTCTGCATAAATGCTAATGTAGGGACCTAAATCTAAGGGTGAGGTGGAGAGCCGGCGCACGTCATAATGCGATATAACCAGACAAAGAGAGAAGAAACAACTCAACAACTTGACAACTATGTGCAGCAGCGTACCTTATCCCCTGCAACCACCTTGAATGATTGGATAATCTGCTCCGCTGTATCCTCGTCTGCGTTCTCACGAGTCATAAAGTTCAAAAACGCGTCAAAGGTGACGAACCCTTTGCGGCCCGGATCGACTTGTTGCATCACCCGTGAGAAATCCGAATCACCCTAAGAGAGAGAGAGCACAAAGATACAGTGGAGAAAAGCCAATGTTTGAGACGCTGGTCACAGCGTGAGTGTAAAGCGAGAAGAGTGCGTGCGGATAAGTAGGGGAATAGGCTGGTGGAAAACAGGCATAAGAAGACAAGTGGATGTACTCATATGAGCGGAACGTGTGATTCGCGGTAGCTGAAAGAGAAAATAAGGTGGAAGGCTCTGGTCGAACCGAATAAACATACGTACAACGACGGGAAGCGATGTGGATGAGATATGGGGGAACGCACACGCCTTGGAATCCGAGAAAACTCGCTTAGCAGCGGCTATCGCTGAGTACTCCTGGAAATGACGGAGTAAATTATCGGTTCATCACCCTAGTATGACCGGAAAGCTGAACCCTAGGTAAGCAAGAGTCTTGAGGTCAGAGAGCGAGCGGATGCCAGTGCACTTATTAGCATCGTGATAATGTGGTAATGGCCCAGTGAATAAAAGGATGAGTGACTCATCCGGTCAAATGCCCAAAACAAACTGGGGGAGTCATCTGTGAATTGGAGACCAATATGCCTCATTTGTTCCACCAGTATGGTTGGGTGCCTTGGAGACTATCCCAGTAGCAAACAGTGAAACCACTGTCGAGGAAGGTTTTGGTCTCGGAAACATACTGTAAACTTACTCGAAGTCGTAACTGTGGAGAAGGAAGTGGCCTAGAAAATGAAATTTCCACAACCACTAGCCTTAATGAGGGTAAGGAAGACAAGAAGCACACCGGAACATCGCAGCGATGCTTCCCCGAAGAGAAACCACTGGCGGTTGCATGCAGGCAGGGATATTGCGATGTGGCCCTCACCTACAGTAGCTAGAACCAGTGATACATTGACCCTAGATTAAGCGATAGTTGCGCTATCCGTTGCATCTCTACGCTTCGATGAGCAGTGGCTGGCTTGCCGAACAATTTCTTTGTGATACCAAGTGGATGGTTCGGGATCATCCTGTTCCAGCCTAATGGTTCGGCGGCAGTGTTCTAGGATGTGGTGCGTTTTCGCTTCGCGAGTGTTCTCCTTATAAAAACCACCTATGTCCGTTTAACAACACTGCGACGTGGCGGATGTGACTCGTCACTAACTAAAGTCACCGCCGCTTGCTTCACTCTGGTGGCGCATTATATTCTAGTGCCCTATTTCTGAAGTCGTGGGGATGATTGGACCCCTGTTTGGTAACCGACCAAACGAAAGTCGTATGAATTGAGCAGTCGTCATCGGCTCACAATGGGTGCGATTACCAGAAATCGCCCGATGATTTGCAAAAGGCTTGCGGTGGGATCCCCTAAGTCAACTCCCTACTTCGGCCAGGGCAATCAGGTGGTACCACGCCCTCTCACAAAACCATGGACCGTTTTACTACGTGCTCATCTGCCACCGTTTCTGCTTCTAGCATTCACGCGACTTTATCACACGCCAATTGTTTGGTTTTCAACAATCTTTACTATCCGTTACCCGATTCCTACGTCCAAAAATCGGGCTGCGATTCCGTTTACGCCACGGAACATAGAGTTCAACCTATGGCTCTCCATCGACCCCGCGCCTCGTGCCATCTGGGGTGCTTCAACGTATGGACACTCATGTAGATTAGACAGCCTGCCGGTCTAGCGGACACCCTGGAGTCCCTCGATGTTGATGCATGTTGCCTTCAGAAACCCTATTGTGATACCCCAAAACCGTGCTTACGCTGACATTCTCCCCTAACCACATACGTAGACATTACCTGCGTCCTTCTGGAGATCAAAAAGCATCCGCAGCAGATTTGGCTGATGTAAGTACAGCACTAAGTGCCAAGACCGAGGCGGCACCACTGGAGTGGTTCTCGATTAACAGCCGATTGTGTGCAGTTCGGCTTCGGGGTTCATGTAGAATCAACAAGCGTCACTAGATAAGACGCAACTATATGTGATCACCGCGTACGCTCCAACTGACTGCAGTAGTGGCTCAGCCAAGGGTGACTTCTACCGGGATCGACATCAGCTCTAAAATAATGCCAAAACGTGAAATGTCGTTGTTCTTGCTGGGGATTTGAAAGCACCGGTTGGCCGTCTGTTACCATATGAACGCCACCTTGATGGTCACCACGCGCACGATGAGAACCGCTCTGATAACGGAGAGAGGCTTCTCAAATTGTGCGAAGATGACCGCCTTTTTCTCTCCAGCCCCAACTTCAGGCATACGAAGAAGCGTTACGCAACTTGGTGTTCCCCTTCGCCAACACAACCGCACTCAGCTCCAGATGGCGTGGCAACGTGCGGTACTGCAGATCTTTTCCGTCCCCATCATTGACCCAGATCATGCACTGGTCTGTGTGTTTTGAGGGTCCCAAAAGACGAAGCACCGCAAGATTGATGTAAAGATATTAATTGATTCCTCAGTCTTCATGACATACGCACTGAGTTGCAATCCACTGCAAGACATAGAGCTACATTGGATGTGTATGCAGAAAGCGGTGACCATTTCCGGAAAGTCAAGCTGCGGCCTTGATTCAAATCCCTTAAAGGCTTGGATCTCTGAAGCTGTTCCAGCACCGCAGAGATATCCAGCAGAATCAGATTGAAACGAGCGGCGTCGCCCTGCCTGTGAAAGTATCGCGAAGTTTGGTAGTGGAACCTGCTTTAGAAATAGAGACGGTTTCCCTCTCTGGCAACACTCGAAAACTTTTCCAACTCATTAGGTTCACTAGGCTCAGGAAGCTTGGTATCAGTGAGATTATTTGTGAGGTCGATGGGTCTCCGATAACCAATCAACAAAGACTGAGTACTTTCACTCGCAATTCAACTAGCCTCTACTGCCCATCAGTGCATGCAGTACACCTTGTTGTCTATTCTGGCTTCTCTTACCGAATGCACCAAAGGAAGCGGAGGTCTGCCACGAGATGCGACGCGTGAAGCGATTTAAGGCTGTCGGCTCTGACAGACTTCCTCCTGAGCTGCTCAGGTACGGTGGCGCAGTGATCATTAACCAGCTGACATCGCTGTTCGCAAAAATCTGGTATGAAGAGAAAGTGTCTTGCTATTGGGGCGAATCAGTTTTTGTCCCGAATTTCAAGAAAGGCGCTCGCACTTCATGTGTTAATCATCGCTGAGTTAGTCTTGTTTCGATTCCCTCCAAGGTATTGACATCTATTCTGCTTAGCAGACTATCTCCAATACGTGAATCATACTACCGTGAAGAACAAGCTGGTTTCCGTCCTGACTGTGGATGTGTGGATCAAATCATTACGCTTCACCAACTCCTTGAATATCGCCACAATTAACAATTGTCCACTATCGTCGCATTCTCAGACATACGGGCTGCATTTGATTCCGTTGATCGATCAGGCTTATGGCGTTGCTTGCCAAGGAACGAGGTGCCAGAGAATTATACCGCCATCTTACGTGCATGTTACCTTCATACCTCCGGCAGAGCGAAAGTCTACGGCAAATTTCCTCGCCCTTCACTGCCAGTAACAATGTGTGACAAAACTGCTCTATGTTTTCCTTCCCCTTCAACTTCAAGTTTCTCAAATTTTCATTTAGAGCTTCTACCGGGTGAGCGCGCGATCGACTTAGATTATGCTGATGATATCGCCTTACTTGGTGACGATCCACAGGGTATGCAACATATTTTGGATGGTTTGGCGGTTGAGGCATCTAGGTATGAGGTTCACTCATCGAAGTGAAAAGTGTTGCTCCAAGATTGGCCCACACCTGTTCCAGCGCTCACGCTTGAAGGTGGACAACTGAAACATGTAAATAGTTTCATTTACCTTGGGAATTATGTTTCTGCAAGCGAGTTTCTCCTCGTACCGCTAAAGCCCGATCAGCGTTTGCCAATCTGACGCACATGTGGCGCCGTCGTGACGTCTCATTTTTGATAAAGGACCGCGTTTATACTGCCTCGGTTCGTTCAGTAATGTTGTGTGAAAGCGAGTCCTAGCCAGTTGGCGTGGAGGACATGCATCGCCTCTCTGCCTGTAACAACGGTTTTGAGAGGGATCGGTCTTGTGTGATGGCAACGTGGAGTTCACAGTTATGACATTCGACGTTGAGTCTTGGAGAATGCGAGTATTAGATTCAACAAGATGGTTTTACTGCGCCAGTTGAGATGGTTGTGTCACGTCCTATGAATGGCGCCTAAGTGTTTACAAAGCCGCGGATCTATTTGCTCGTCAAGGACCGGGCTGAATGCGACGCGTAGTGGTCATCCTTCCACTTGGCGACAGCACATGAAATCGCTGACGTCGTGTCTAGCCGACGTTGGACCCAAGAATGAGAAGGGCCGATGGCTTAAGATGTTTGAAGACATGGCCCGCAACCGGAATCACTGGAAGAATTGTGGACAGGATTGTAGTGATTCAAAGGTTTAATACATCAAATAGTGAAAATGACAAAAAGAAAAATCGGCGTGTGAAAAACAAACCAAAATTTTTCGTCCTATTTTTGTCAAATTGTACTTTGATTCCCATGGTTTTCTTGGCGGCTCTATGACAATTTCTTGGATTGCTGATTATATATATATATATATATATATATATATATATATATATATATATAAAAGGTTGGTGGCATCCGGTTTCGGATTTTCCTGTCACTGTAGCAAGCCACAGGACGCCTGCGCCTGCAGAGGGACCATGAGTAGCTTGCGCTGCACCACACACAGCTCCAACCACACACCCCATATCCAGTGTAAACCCGAAGGAATAAGACCTTGAGGCATGTGGATGGGAGCCACGTTTCATCAACGGAGCCGGCCCACACTCCTTCACAGGCAAACATAAGCACGCCATATTTGGGGAATCAAGCGCACACAATAAACACTGAGTGTATGGAACCACTTTTCGGGCCTAGCACGACCACAAGGACCGTGCACCCCGTCCCTTGCAGCAACGGCCAACTGTCTCCTAGAGTCAGTATGGACGAGGTAGTGGGTAATAGACAGGTATGCACCTTGTCAACATGCATATTAAGCGCAGCCACACCGGGGATGTCAAACAACAGCCAATCACTTGAGAGAGAGAGAAAGAAAAAGAGAAAAACTCGATTAATGCATAAGGAAACGGTGACATAAACCTTAATTAAATAGCATAGGTAATAAGTTGTTTACAAACAAATCCCAGCTAAGTGCACGAGGTCAGGAAGTATAGTTCACGGTATGTCACGAACACAATATGGTTATGGAAATCGAATACAATTGGCTGAAGCGATGTGTGCAAGTTAATGGAATAGAGTACAGGGAGATATTTCTATGAGAAAGAAAAGCAAAAAGGTAAAAACTGTAAACCCACCACCTGAAATAAAGAGACTTAGCATGCAAGCACGCGGTTAGTAAATCGAATTCAACGTGCCTACAAACGCTGCGCCGGCTCGTCCTAATTCTCTGCAGGACCCATCGTCGCTTCTGTAGTGGCCCCAAATGGCATAGCTCATGGCCCACTAGACATTTATACGAGAAAGAAAGGCATATATATATATATATATATATATATATATATATATATATATATATATATATATATAAAGGTTGGTGGCATCCGGTTTCGGATTTTCCTGTCACTGTAGCAAACCACAGGACGCCTGCGCCTGCAGAGGGACCATGATTAGCTTGCGCTGCACCCCCCACAGCTCCATCCACACACCCCATATCCAGTGTAAACCCGAAGGAATAAGACCTTGAGGCATGTGGATGGGAGCCACGTTTCATCAACGGAGCCGGCCCACACTCCTTCACAGGCAAACATAAGCACGCTATATTTGGGGAATCAAGCGCACACAAGGCGGTGGCTGGACCGTAGTCCGCTCCACACTGACTGCATGGAACCACTCTTCGAGCCTAACACGACCACAAGGACCGTGCACCCCGTCCCCTCCAGCAACGACCAACTGTCTCCTAGAGTCAGTATGGACGAGGTAGTGGGTAATAGACAGGTATGCACCTTGTCAACATGCATATTAAGCGCAGCCACACCGGGGATGTCAAATAACAGCCAATCACTTGAAATGAGATTATCAAATAAAATAGTATATCTGTTAGAGAATATGGCTATGCGAATATAACTCCTCTCTAAATTAGCAGATGAAGTAAGTTGGTCAGCAACGAATCCGTGATAAGTACAAAATGTCCAAAAGTTAGTCAAAAAATTCTAAAAACGCAATAAAGTTAATAAAGATAACCACAATTAGCGTAAGCAACGTGTGCAAGTTAAGAGAAGATAATTCAGGTAGGCAGAACAAATCAAATAAAGTCAAAGTTGAATTTGAAGTACCAAGCCGAGAGCCGATCGGCTTCGGTAAGCGGTGGTATGCGACGCGAACGCCGCGTGAGATCACACGCGACAGTGATGAGATAGTCGGCAGCAACGCGATAGAATGGGGATATGGCTGCGAGAGCGCATACTCGATACGATCCACAGAACAGCGCACAAAGTTACCGTAATGGTAGAGAGCAATTTGCACACAAGGTCCTTAAACCAAATTGACAGGAATCACGCTTAGACAAAAGGGCGGAAATTGCTGACAATGAAACACCCACAAGTGGACTGAAAGGAAGATTGATACCAGACACCAGGGGAAAGACACCAAAGACAGCACGCCAGACGCAGCGAACGAAAGAACAAAACACAGAGGGGTGAAGACACACACACACACACGAGTTGTCAGTAGGTGTATAGACATCGATGGGGAAAAACTACGCACGACGGAGATGGACGAAGTGACTCAGTGTGGGAACCGGAGCCACACTTACGATCATTCCTCCGGGTTGGGGTAAAGACTGTAGGAGATGGGAAGGAAGCGACTGAGCTGCACAAAGCGTAGCGATACGCGTGAGCGGAAAATGTCAAAGACAATGCATCAGCAGCGAAAAGAAGCGACGCGTAACCCGGTATGTGGTATCCAACACAGGGTGCAACATAAGAAGAGCATACAAATGTCCCGAGGGAGTGGATGCCAAATCATGGCAGGGTTAGAAAATAGATGGGCAGATGGATTGAGTAGAATGGATTAGAGCAATCTGTTGAAAAAGCCTAACGCGGAAGTCACCTCGCCGATAACTGGTATGGGGAGGAGACGAATCCACCAGCCAGTGGTCGATAAACTTAGGTGGATGTCGTTTCGAGACCACATGAGCATGTGGAGTACAAAGGCAGAGCCAGCTACGAACCAAAAAGCAAGGACAAGTGACTGAGTCTAAGATAGTGGCGATTGCGATTGCGATTGATAGTGGGGACCAGAAGATGGGACCACGAACGTAATGTGCGCATGTAATTCCGGCTTCCAACTGGTTAGTCTAAGAGGTCATATGAACAAAGGAAGCGAACGATACAACAGACGTTCTCATGGCGTAAATAATGGCCGGAAAAGCGAAACAAGGCGAAGAACATAACAAAGCGTGAACTCACACTTCTGTCATCACCGAAACTGTGGCCCAGTGATACCAAACAGGCTCGGAATTCGTGGGGTTCCAAACGTCCAGTATCGTTTCGGTCAAAGTGTCGGAAACAGGTGCGTAAGTCAGTCATCTGGTCGGCAGTAAGGCCCTTGGAATCGCGAGTGAGGATTTGGTTCTCAATCAAATTGACCGAGTGATGCAACGACGTAAACAACTGATCCCATGCCACACGTAGGGTAGGCATTGAGAGAGTTGTGTATGGATTATCGAATACATAAGCGTCCTCCAGGGCCTAAAGAGTGAAGGAGATCAAGGGAACAGAAAGTGAGGATATGACGAGGACAAAAAGGGCGTGTGATAGTAAACAAAGGATCGATCCTTCAGAAGGGCACTGTCGAGATATGCATGGTGATGGAAGACAACGAAGATGGTTAGATCGAAGGAGCACACGCGGGCGTCTGACCCGCAACAGGAACGAGAGCATCTAGACCGCGTAATGACATCTAATGGGTGTTGTAATGGCCCTGCGTGAAGCAAAACTAAGTCTAAGCCTCGATCAACATCCTGGATTTCAGAAAAAGCAGAATTATTTTATACTTCCTATCAATGAGCCATACAAATTGGCCCATTTCATCCGATCGATAATCTATTGGCGACTACTTGGGCAATACTCGCGCCAGTCTAGACCAATTCTCCACTTGCTGTCATCGATTTGGATATACAGACGCGAGAAGCCCGGCCTGGGGGCATTGCTATTAACTCACCAGCTACCAAAGTTTAGTGTAAGCAGCCAAAATGAGCGTAAGAGTAAGAGATACGGGTTAGCTATTGGGGAAAACACTTCTTCTATTGGTGAAAGGAAGTACAACAATCACGGTACTGATAGCACAGTTAGTGATTCTGGTTCTAAGGATAAGAGAAATCTTCGCCAAGAGCGACAAACTGGGTTTTGTTGATGTTAAGATCCAACAGCCACTATCACAATTCAGTACGAACACAGGCAGGTATGATAAACCCACAAAAGGAAGACAACTCAGCCCACACACGGAACACAGATACGGCTTCCAGTCCATAGCCTCAACCCCAACAAGGCAGAAATAAAGACCACGTTGCGATATCCATTCTGATGACAACTCAGACATTTATCAATGAAACACGTGGATATTTACAGGTCTACCAATGACTTAAATCTCACAGAAATTGACCAATCGGGGTTCTGGTCTGAGGCGAGAACGGATTTGCACGTATCGTTTTAAAGGTAAAAATCGGCCAATAATAATTCCACACTTTTGATGGTTCCAGTGTAATTCTTGGGGAAATGGCCTTTTCTACAACACTTAATAAATCTCGTACCTTGGATGACATGGATCCAGTTACAAGGACCTTGTTGGACGATGTTTCCAATCGGTACATCTTTTAGGTCGTAAGGAGATTCGACACGAAAGTGTACGTGGTACATCTGTCAATCGGCACGGGGGGTAGTCCGAACCTGTCTAACAGTATTTCAAACGGTAGTTCTTCATTATCGGTAACTGTGAGATAGTTGTGGCGTGGACGAGGTTGGTTTTTGTGTAGTAGCCAGTTATGGTGCCCAACCGTCACTTTGTACATTACGGAACCACGGCGGCTTTATGACCACCCCTGGGGACCCATGATGGATGACTGTCTGTAATCACGAGCGTAGACCAAATCACCGATTGAAAATGTTGACCCTGATATGCGTACCGGGGTTGGTGACGAAATTTCCGCCGGGAGTATTGCATCAAAGATGGTGCGTGCCTATCGTTCGATAAGGCAATCGGCAGGAGGGGATCAATTTGGCGTTGCCGCGTTTGGTGTGTTTCTGTAAAGCGTATGGAAATCTTGTATGCTTTCGTCTATAGTTCATTACCCTCGCGTTTTTAAAAGAACCCGTTTCAACAAGTTCGTAAACTGGACTACCCTTAATGGTGGGTTGGCGGGGTGTGAGTGGTTAAAAAAGCACTCCGGCGGCAGAAGTCCTGGAAAAGTTGGTATGTAAACGGGGTTCCGTTATCTGAAACCAGGGTATCTCAAAAACCCGTGCTGAAAATTTTGCACAGAGCTGAGATAGGGAATAATGTCGACGCCTGTGACAGCGGGATAATGTCGGGCCACTTGGACGTTGCGTGAATTACGATTAAATGCATAGTGCCGTTCATCGGGCCAACGAAGTCGACATGCAGGCGAGACCACGGCTTACAGGGCTAAGTGCACGGTAGTGGGGCTATATGGGGACTATTGTCGACTTGTCGGCAACGGGAACACAGCTGGACCAACGTCTCTATTTGCTTGTCGATACCCGACCAGTAGACATAGCTTCGGACGATGGCCTTCATCTGTCCTGTGTAAAACGGACGCAAAACGATCAACCGAAGCAAAACAGGGCATCAGCAGTACATCGGCATGCAGTACCGACGCTTCGCCGCAGCGCAACCATTACGTGTAGCACGTGAACTAAGGATACTTAGAGGGTCGCCCTGTCCCTACGCAGGCTCGAACCCGAGCCGTCACATTACGAGACAAACAAGTTATCTTTAGGCTACGGGCCGGCAAAATAGTAGACAGAAATCGATTATGGACAAGTTGTCTAGACGGAGATAAAGTTACCGCAGATCTCCGATGGGCGCTGTCGTGAGCCACTGGTTGCGGACGCATTTAATTGCCTTGAAAGACAGGATCGTTTCATTTTTGATGTCAAGAAGAGTGACAGAAAATACACGGACCGCCGCAGCCAGGTGTGCATGAACATTTAACACTAGGGAGAATGCTGTGATGTTAGCATTTTCCTGCTCCTGTCGATTTGTATTGCGCAACCGGGAGACGGCGTCTATCTACCCGATTTCTTGCGTTTGATAGAAATGTTGCTGAATGCTGCAATCTGATGGCAGTATATGTATAGGGATGCCTTTTTAGAACCGAAAATAGCAAATAACGTTCTGTGGTCGGTTAGAAATTGGGTGGCGACCGTAGACCATCTTGTAGACCTTCCTCACAGCGAATAGTAGCGCCAAGGCTTTATTTCCGAGTTGAGCATAATTCTTCTCGGCTGCCGTACGAACAGCATGCATGATTAGTTTTCCGATCCGCCTGGAAACATGTGCAAGATGACGGCACCGACGTCATAGCTGGAAGTGTTTGCAGTGACTATGATTGGTAGTTTAGGATCAAAATGCCAGGAGGTCGGAAACGAACACGTTTTTCAGGGAATCAGATGTACGTTCACACTTTGGTGACTAGGACCAAACGCCGTTCCTTTTACAGCAATTTATTTCGTGGTATTTTGACATTCTAGGAGGTTGCTAAGAATGCGCCGTAGTGAGGCGCTAGTCCGAGGAACGACCGTAGACACATCTTTGGAGCGCGCATGTTCTGGATTACACACACATTTTCAGGATCGGGATTGCGACCATTTTTATTGATGATGAAACAGATATACTTGATTTAAGGGAGGAAAAATTGACACTTGGTTGGTTGCAGCCGGAAGCCGTATTCTTACACATGATGTAGAACCTCAGATATTGAATGGGAATACTTCGGGATTGCTCCTCCCAACCCTGACACACCACGACGGCGGCTTCGTCCTGATTTGGACTCACCAGGTGGAGAAAGTTTGAGTTGGGGTAGAATGCAGAGCCTAGCGGTTCATGGCTAACGCCCTGAACACCATGCAACTGAAATTCGCGAACAACCCTTGGAACAGCGAAAAGGAATTCATAACATGAAGTGGGCGAACGTACTGTGTGTTTGAGTTGCGACACGCAAATTCTATTGAGAGCTCAGTGCTTACGATGGGAATGATCGAGGTCCACTCAAAGTGGAACGAGGTCTCAATAGTTGCTTGTCGCAATTGAACCACATAGCGGGTTCTCCAGGTTCATCTTTGAACCGCATGTATCCTCCGTATACTTCCCCACTGGCGCGACCCATTATAGTAATCATAGATTGTCAGTATTATTATTGTTATTATGGTCTAGATGCAATGCAGCACCGGTTAAACCAGAGAGCATAGAGTCCAGTATAGCTGTTTAAAAATAGCAGCAGCTGACTTAAGTCCGTACAGTAAGCGGTTATACTGAAACAAAACGCGCTGCGTATTGATGGTTAGCAGCTGACAAGACCGCGGTGAAACCTCGACTTGCAGCTAGGCATACTCCGGATCCAGCTTGGCAAAACAAGTTCCAACATTATGCATGGTGAAGATATCTTCCGAAATCCGCAGCGAGGAATTTAATCCGGTGGAATAGTCGACACATACAAACTGAATCATTTGCCATCTTGAGGACAATAATCGGAGCTGCCCATGGGGAATAATACCCTGGAGAGTTGATACTTATTGCATCGAGATGTCGCAGTTCCTGATCTACCACGGGAAGTCTAGCGTAGGGCACTGGTCGCTTTGGGAGAAACGATAGCACACAATCAAATTTTAACTGGAGAATTGCCTGAGCTCGTGTGCAAGAGCCAACCCA